TGCAATTATATTGGAATAGGTACTCCTAAAGACATTCAAAAAGCTCTCGAATGGTATCGTCGTTCAAGCAAGTATGATTTTTATTGGGGTGGTAAATTCCAATACGCGTTAGTCCTTTACAAACGTGCTATATCTACTCTTGAATCGGGTTATCACGACAATGCTACGCCTCTATTTGTTGAAGTTTTTCATTTAATACTTCAAATATGTGAAAATTTTCCAAATTGTCCTGGTCCTATTAAATTAAAACTTGGTATATTTTACCATTTTGGAATCGGGTGTCCAAAGGATTTTCAAAAAGCCTTATATTGGTACGAACGAGCTTCAAAAGGCCTCTTAATGTCAATGCCATCGATACAAGAATGTGATTCTTTGATTAATGATATCCATCAAGGTTATGATTCTTCTTTATCGACTGTCATTAAAAATGAATTGTTAATATTCGATGGAGGGTTTTAAAGAAATGGGCATTCACATACTCGACTATCCTCTTAAATTCTACATCGTTTTTCTTTTTTTTTTCGTTTCAAATAATATTCGATTCAAGGTAAGTTAGTAGCAATTAAGAAATGCTTAATCATATTATTTCTAAGTATATACTTTTTATGAGCTCGTTTCTCGTTCGTCTTTTAAGCCATAAAAAAAAAAAAAAAAAAAACTCGAGAAATGAGAAAATATAAATATGAATTATAATATAATTCTTCGCCAATAAGAAAAAAAAAAATACATTAGTTAAGGTTCGTGAGTAAATACAATACTAAATAAATATAAAAAAAAAATAATGATCGTGTGGTAAAAATAATATTCCGAACAGAATGTATAGTTTCAAGAATGTTATTATCATAATACAATGGTATCTAGATAGGTATAATATGAGGCCTTTGCAATAGAAAGGGCCCAAACTACATTTTAATTTTTAAATAATTAGAGTTAAAAATTTAATAAAATCTTAACTATTTAACCAAATTTAATAAAAAAAAAATTTTATTTGAATTCTAAAAATATATAGAATTCAATTAAAAAAAAAATTGTTAAGATATTATTAAATTTTTAACTCTAATTATTTAAAAATTAAAATGTAGTTTGGGCTTTTTTTATTGTAAAGGCCTCATATACAGTTTATCTATTTATTCGATTAATTTGCTGTAAAATTCGGTATATAATTATGTTCTGATCTATCTAAAAAATATTCAAGTAAAAAAAAAAATCTTGATGCAAATTATCTAAAATTGTAACTCACAAAAAAAAAATTAAAATAAATAAAAAGTATAACTTTATAGTTTTAGATAAGGCTTACAAAATTACAAGATATCGTCATCATCAAGATATTATTCGATTTGGTTCCGGAAACTATAAACGTAGAATAAAGTAGCGCGCAAATTTATTTGTTAGAATATTATTAATACATAGTTTTATTAGTTTTAATAGTTTAATAAATATTATATATTAGTTATTATTATTATTATTATTATTATTTTATTTTATTTTATTTTATTTTTTTTTAACTTAGGCGATCTTGCTTATCATTTTATTAAGAAAAAGCTAATTTAAACTACAAGTAAAATGCTATACTATTAATAATGATAATACTTTTCTAAAACTATTCAGAACTTACTCAGCTACCTTTAGACGCTCAAGTATGATCTGCTGCAGCAACTATTTCTCTTGTAAGAGTTTAAGTTTGTATAAACAAACTTCTAGCTTCTAGTTGATGAGAGGTTGTTACCAGTTTATATCAAGATCACCTATCTTGTTTTAAACTGTAACATTCTTCTTTTTTATCTGATTGGACCTATCTATTAACTTTGCTTGAAGTTTTTTTTGTGTTTGTATTTCTTTTTCTTTTCTTGATTCTTTTGTTTCAATAGAAGAGGTTAAGTTTTCTTTTTTTTTACTTCTCTTTTTTTTTTTCTTTTAGCAGTGATATTGTTTTCTTTTTTCTATTTAACTATTATTTTGTATCAGAACTTCTATAGATAGTTATAAAAGCATATCTAGAAATGTTTGATAAAGCTTATTAGGACTCTGTTTGCTTTATTTTTTGACTATGCTATTTTGCTTATGTTTGTTTGCTAATTTCTGTTTGTAAGATTTCTAAAATATATTTTTTGAATATGAAGCTTCTCTTCTGAGTCTTTATCAAAAAAAGCTTTCTTTAGCAAAGTTTCATCAAGGAACAAGCCTAGTTTTGTTTTTGTTTTCAGATTTATTAGCTACAAAATTTCTTCTTTTAAGTTTTTCTATATTTTTTGATATATTTCACAATCTGCTAAATGATACAAAGTATTATCTGTTCTAAAGCAGGCTATACATTTTCAGCTTTTGTATAGCTCAGAGTTTTTCATAAAGCAGATATCTTTTGTTAGTATAATATTATTAATATATTTTATATAAAAAATAAAATCTTTTCTTTTTTCAAGCTGATATATATTTTTTTTTATTATTTCTTGAGTACTTTCTAAGTAATTTTTCAATTTACCTCTTTACTAAAGTTATTTTCTAGGTTCAAAGCTATAATATCTACTATTTGACTCAGACTTGTCTATTCTGTTTCATAGGTTATTGTAGATTTTATATTTATAAATAATCAGAGTAGGTACTCTATTGTTTAGTTTTTCTATATAGGTATTACTTGAAAGTTACCTAATATTGTTTTAGGTATTTTGAGTATACTAGTTTTTTTAATACTTTCTTTAGTGAAATAATCTGCTTGATTATTTTATCTATTTCTACTATAGCTTTTAATTTTGTGCAATAGTATGTTAAAGCTCTTAGCAATACAACAGTCTTTTATCTATCTTAATAAGCTTTTGTTTTTTATTTTGAACTAGCTTCACAGCTTGTTATTATCTAAATACTTTTTAATAGCTTCTATTGCAGCTTTGCTATCAGTAAAAATATATACTTAAGTTTTATACAATACTGTTAGCAGAGCTATTTAGATAGCTTCTAATTCTATATGAGTTTATGATAGCTAATTTTTTAACTACAATTAAAGCTAATGCTATTCCCTTGATCCTTCTTATTTTAACTATTTACTCAGCATCTATCCTATCTAAATCTGATTCTCTACTACTACTTGCTAATATGCTATCTGTATAGTATTTGATAATTTTATTATTTTTTAATTTTCTATATACATTTATTAACTCTCTTTCGATTAACTTATTGCTTACTACTCTTTGGATAATTGCATTTTTGATGTTGTTTGCTATTATTTTTACTTCTACTTCTTGGTTTATTTCATAGTTTATAACTAGTTTCTTTTCTTTAGCATATACTATTAATAGTGCTCTTAGCTCTATCTCCTTTTTAGTTATTCTCTTTATCTTTATAGCTTGGTATCACTCCTTGTATCTAATGCTTATTATATCTTTACTATTATATACCTTTCTTATACTATATCTATTATACTTATAAAATAAAGTATTCTTTACTACATAGCTCTGAAAGTTCTAATGTTCAACAAATATAAGTTTTTCTGTTTTTTTTTTATTTTTTCAAGATGAGAGTTACTGTCTCTTTTAAATAGCACTCATTCTTTTTTCTATTTATCTTTAGAAATATTTTAAAATTGAATCTTTATTGCTCTTCTATTAGGACTAGCTACTTTAAAATTATTTTGTAATTTTCTAAAGCTTCTTTTTTTTAGTACTATTTCTTCAAGCTTCTTAAACTAGCTTGAAATATGTTCTTTAGTTTTTTCATTTCTTATATATTTTATTTAATGCTATATGAGTAGTTAATTTTCTGTACTATTTATTAGTTGTTCTAATACAAATAGGTTTATTTTATCTAATTTTATATATATGTGCAACTCTTTTGTACTTAACAAGCTTGATATTTTTATTCCTTTGATGTTAATAGTATCTAGATATTCTGTTATCTTACAGATCTTTAAATCTAATTTAGCTACTTTATGTAAGACTTTCAAGGCTAAATTATATTCAAAAACTGGTTTGTTAAATATACAATATCTACTTAAAAAGCTATACAAGTATTTGCTTTGTAGCTAACCTTCTCTAATTCTTAGTCTTATCATTTTTCTAAGAATTCTTTGTTGGTTTACTCATAGTATTAGCTCTGTGAGATGATATACTAGTTGGTTTTGTTAGATTAATCTTATCTCTAAAAAGCCTATATAACTATAGATTGAGTTTACTATTAATTTAGCTAATTCTTATTATTATTATTATTATTATTTATTTATTTTATTTTATTTTATTTTATTTTTTTATTTTTATTTTTATTTTTATTTTTCAACAAAGCCTCATACTGATTAATTTTTATTAAATTATTTATAGGTTTATATTAGTTAGTAAAAATATAATTAGTCATATATAAGGTCTAGTAACCTAGTATAGTAGTTAGGTTGTCAGACTACTATATAATAGATTTAAGTTCAAATCTTACTGTCAACAAATTTGAATAATTTCTTAGACTTTGTGATATATTATAGTAAATCCTATTTATTTCTGAAAATGTATTTCTGTAAATTGAGTTGTACTAAATTGATCAGAATTTAGAAATGTAGTATAATATTATATAAATAAATCTTGATAGAATATATAGACAGGAGACCTGTATGATCAAAATCCTAAGTCAGTAAATAATATAGCCTTCTAACAGAACTATATCAGCTAAAGTCTAATCTAAGAAAAAAACTCAGTTTAATAAAGGTAGAAAGTTTCAAGATTTCTGGGTGAAAGGTAATTGGAACTAGTTAGATACTAGAAAAAGACTAGGTCAACTGACTATTAAAAGACTATAGTAGAATCTAGAGTTGTATAAACATCTACAAGTATTTAAACTAAATGATTTTGTAAAATAGATACAGATTGCTCTAGTAGGTTTGTTTTGAAATTAACTAGCTTTGCAATATTAGTAATATATCTAATATAATGTATTTTGAGAAGACCTAAGCTATCATCTGAAAAGTAAAATAGGTATAAATCTGCACAGATCTGTAAAAATACAAAAAAAGTGCAGATTTTTATAAA